AGAGTGAGTAAGTGAGACAGGCAGAGAGAGGGAGAGAGAGAGAGAGAGAGAGAGAGAGAGAGAGAGAGAGAGAGAGAGAGAGAGAGAGAGAGAGAGAGAGAGAGAGAGAGAGAGAGAGAGAGAGAGAGAGAGAGAGAGAGAGGGAGAGAGACAGAGAAATAGAGAGGGCGACTGCTCGACTGAAATTATGACATTTTCTTTCTTCAGCTTGTCTTGATTCCCCCAACTCCAAAACAAAGGAAAAACGATCGTTCATCGAAAAGACATCCGCAATCTTCATTTAGATCTCAATCTAGGCCTCGAAACTAGATCTAGATCTTTTGTCTGTCTGTCCAGATCTAGACCTAGGCCATAGATCTAGATCTATCTGAAGAACCTAGGTCTACCCTGAGCCAAGAGGGCGCTGAAACTTTCCGAAATCACAAAACATTACCCCAACCCGGTTCTGTATACTTCGTGACTTTGTTTCTGGTTACCGGGTCTGTATACACTCCCTACTTTGTAAGTTAAACCAAAAAGGGATCATGTTTCAGTTCAGAGTCAGAGAGAGAGAGAGAGAGAGAGAGAGAGAGAGAGAGAGAGAGAGAGAGAGAGAGAGAGAGAGAGAGAGAGAGAGAGAGAGAGAGAGAGAGAGAGAGAGAGAGAGAGAGAGAGAGAGAGAGAGAGAGAGAGTAAGTGAGACAGGCAGAGAGAGGGGAGAGGAGAGAGAGTAGAGAGAGGAAATGAAAGAGTGAGGGTGAGAGAAAAGAAAAGAGAGAGGGAGGGGAAAGATAGAGAGATAGAAGGACTTCCCTAACCAGCGACCACCCCATCAAACACACAATATAAAGAAGAGGCCTTTAATCCTAGAAAGTGGCTATCCTCACCCGGGGTGAGAATAAAAATACGTTCGATCTCTCACCCCGGGTGAGACTTGCCAGCGTAGGCTATTCTCACCCGGTGTGAAACAAGACCTGTTTTTCCTCATTTTGGAATACATACTTTCTATCGATGTGGATGATCAAATTGATAAAAGCCAAGAAAAAATTACGTTATAATATATAGCACAAGAGTAAGCTAATTTGATTGTCTTCAAAGATGCTATGGCTATTTCACTTTTCGAATCGAGCCGAACTATGCGGGTCGCCATTTTGTTTTGCCCGGAAGTTCTCGCAAGATCTACTCCTCCTCCCCTTTCTCTCTCTCTGTCTCTTTCAGAATACTTACTGTCTATCGGTGTGGACGATCAAATTGACCAAAACAAAGTTAAAAAATGATTTTAAACAAGAAAACTAAATTAATTTGGTTGTCTACAAAGATGCTACGGCTATTTAACTTTTCGAATCGAGCCGAACTACGCGGGTCGCCATTTTGTTTTGCCCGGAAATTCTCGTGCTACTCCTCTCTCTCTTTCTCTCTCTCTCCATTGCCCACAGACAAAATTGTACGCTTTTAGTAGGCTACAGTTGTAATGGAACGTTTGTTCACGGCACAGAATTCTACAATTTTTCTGTTATCACAGAGTAGAATTCTGTGGTTTAGGGTGAACGCAAAATTTGGTGAACGCGCACCGGGTGAGAATAGCCACAAGACTCGCCTGCCTGCACTATTCTCACTCCGGGTGAGAATAGAGGTGGCCTAGGAGGCTAACACTAACAGTAACAGTAGATCTAGATCTAATCTATATCTAGTAATAGATCTAGAACGTTTGTTCACAGTACAGAATTCTATAATTCTGTTATCACAGTGTAGAATTCTGTGGTTCAGGGTGAACGCTTCACTGGTTGGCCTAGGCTATAACGGTGAACGCCCACCGGGTGAGAATAGCCAAAAGACTCGCCTGCGCTATTCTCAGCCGGGGTGAGAATAGAGGTGGCCCTAACCCAAACCCTACCCCTCAATTTTGCTGTCTCATAAGTGGCCGCTCGTTACGGATGCCCTCCCGTTAGATAGATAGATAGATAGAGAGATCTAATAGACAGAGATAGAGAGATAATAGAGATAGAGACAGATGAGAGAGACTGACGATAGTCAGTGTGACTGTGTTGTTACGTTTACGTGACAGACAGCAGCTGTCTTGCTTACCCTGCATTTTCCTGATTCCAAAGAAGCTTTCTAGGTGG